AAGTAGATTTGCCTAGTCTTCCTTCTGTAGAGTGGCTGGTGGGTTTGAACTGCCAGCCTTCTGGTTAGCAGTCAAATGCCTTAGGCACTATGCCAGCAGAGCTATTTCTAATAATAGAAAAGAAAAAATAGGCAAGTAATGGATGGTTCCTATTTCTGCCTCTGCTGACTACTTTATTCGTTCATTCTTGAAACATTTATTGAGTACTTAGAGATACAAATAGATATGTCTCCTGACCTTAAAGGAACTCAGTCTAGAAATTTGGGAAGAAAAAGATATGAACCTGAAGGAGAGTTTTGGATAATGGTGTCAAAGTGGAAAGCTGACTAACTTTTAGGCAGAGCTTGGTATATGTGTGTGGCTGAGGGGGGGTGAGGGGATTTATAAGGTCATCAAGGTCCAAGATTAGATCTCAGTTTTTCAAGTCCAGAGACTGGGTTTGATCAGCATGACCAGAGTTGTTCAGGCTCAGGGGATCTGACTTGTAGCAGCCAGCCTCATAAGAGAACAAACCATAACATTATGGTGTATTAATGTGTGGTGAGAACTATAATTAACAAGCAGGTCCGAGTGTATTCGTTGGCTGTACATTTTTTCCTGTTGCTGTTGTTAGCTGCCCTTGAATTGGCAGACTCGTGGCAGCCCTGTACACAGAAAAATGACACGAGCCTTCCTGTGACCCGTTGTGGCTCAGACTGTTGTAATCCATAGGGTTTTCATTAGCTGAATTTCAGGAATAGATCTCCAGGCCCGCCTTCCTAGTCTGACTCAGCCTGCAAGTCTCACTGAAACCTGTTCTGCATCATAGCTACACACAAACCTCCACTGACAGACGGCTGGTGGCTGTGCCCGAGGTGCATTGGTTGGGAATCACCCCAGTCTCCCATTTGGGAGGTGAGAATCAAAGTCTGAATGGGCAGTAATTCTAAACAAGAGATTTGGTGAGGCTGTGCTCAGAGCAAGGGCAAGGAGTTGGAAGACCTTGGCATCTCTTGGCCTCAAATGGTGACTCCTCTCTACTCCATTGGTGCCGAAGGGCTAACATAGTCTCCCTGATGGGTGTCAGCCTTTTCTTTTAAATGGTAATAGACACTCTGACAAACAATTTTTCCAGTCATGCGAGCCCTGTTCTTTCTGTTAGCACTTTTTTTTTTTTCCCCAGAGAGGTAAACTATTGGTAAGACTATAGGCTGATAAGGTTTTATTATTGTTTAAAGGATGTTTTTTTTTTTTTTTTGGCAAACAGCTAATCTTACTTATGTCTTGATTTTACACTTTTAATTTCCCAAAGGTATGCTTATCTCCAGGTTTCTCTTCCTTTTGTAATGAATACAACTTACATTCTCCTTTATAATTTTGCATGAGCATCTTTTGCTCAGTGCACTCATTCTTGATGGTCTCTCCTCTTTGTTAGACTTAGGCTCCCTTATTCTCTCCTCTCATACCATCCTATGCTTATTCCCTCTATCCTCTTACCACCACAATATAATAATTTGTTGCCTCATCTTTCTCTTTTGCCAGGCTAAGCTTTATTAGAACAGCAACTACATTTCATTAAACTTTGTGTCTTTAGCTGCTAGTTTAGTGTCTGATAGAAAGTAAGGACCCAGTAAAGAGATGGATGGGTGAATGGATGGAGCGATACTTGTGCTGAACCCTTAAATGTTGACTAGAATACTTTTCAGTAAGAGAAGCCACTGCAGTCTACTGTTAAGATCTAATGAATTTTTCCTCTATCTTACCTGACCTCTCTTGTGGCATTGCCCGAGTAGAAGGGTGATTGTGAACACTAGATTATAGTTTAGTATATCCCCTCAATGCTTCTGTCCTAACTCTGTGTTGTGATTGTCATTTTAAATTCAAGTTCATGAAAATGACATTTTTCTTCAGTACTTCAATTTGGAGATGTTCCTAGTCTCTTCCAATCTTGTTTCATTTATCTATTGCTAAGTAACAAAGCCAACCCAAAGCCTGTAATTTAAAACAGTAGATTATTTTTCACAGTTCTGAAGTCTGGCCATGACTCAGCTGAGAGGTTCTGCTTTACTTGCAGAGAGGCTAGAATGTCAAGACGGCTGCTTCAGTCACATTTTGACACCCCAGCTGGGATGGCTAGCCAGCCATCTTTCTCTCTGTATGTGACCTCCCCTTATAGATAGCTTGGGCTTCCTCACAACATGGTGGTCTCAGGATAGTAGAACTTCTTTATATAGTGGTTGGCTTCTAAGAGGAAAGAAGTGGAAGCTGCCGCTTCTCTTATGGGCCAGTTGTGGAGTTGGCACATCATTTTCACCTCATTTTATTGGTCTAAGCCAGCTTAAATTTCATGGGAGGAGAAATAGACTGCACCTTTTAGAGTGAGGAGCAGCATTCATATACAGGGAGAGATCACAGCCATCTTTGGGGATTATCTAAAAGAATTGCTATTATGTAGTTCAAGAAATACACGTTAAGAAAACAGTATTTCAACTAGATATGTACTAAAGAAGTATGTTTGATTTAAGTGGCTGGTTTTAAAGAAATGCATTACGTTTATTTAGATGAAGTCTCTTGAGGGAGAAGGGGTCTTTCTGGTCAGAAGAATGTACTCTGTCAAAATGAGTGTTAGGAATTAATCAGTATTGATAAATGTGTAAACCCAAGTTCTAATGAGAATCAGTAGGCTATCCGATTTGTTAAAATGAACCTTTCTCTTTAATGATTAAGGTTGTTTGCTTTATAAAGTGAGAGCATAGTGGCAGATTTATGAGAATCAAAAAGATCCATTTGCTATTAGTTTTCTCACCTTAGAGGGATGTTTAGAAACATGTCACATTATTAAAGGTGCTTCAGTTGATAATTCCTCTGTGAGAAATTTGTAATAAATTCTCTTTCCTTCATAGTGTTGCTATGGGAAATGGGCGGGAAATGACCCCAGTGTCTCTATTTCTTGACCTGAGCTATTTTATGAATGTTTTAAAAGTCTAATCATTCATTTCAAGAACCTTAAAAGACCCAAATAAATCAAGAAAAGGATGTAATAAGTGATGATATAGACTATATTATTTGAAACATGCAGAATAATAATAAAAAAAAAGACTGTCAAGTTGATTCTGATTCATAGCGACCCCTCCTTGGGTTTCCAAGGCAGTATCTCTACGGAAGTAGATTGCCCAATCTTTCTTCCAAGGAGTGGCTGGTAGGTTTGAACTGCCAGCCTTCTGGTTAGCAGTCAAATGCCTTCGGCACTACATACAGAATATCTTACACAGTTCCTTTTAGCTTGTGTCACACCTGTTTGAGAACGATTTCTCTTTAATCAGTATGTTGCTTTGTAGCTTTTCAGTAGGTTGTCCCTCTGTTCAGTGCTTACTGTTCAGTCACTTACCTCTTTAGCATTTCATAAGAACAGGTATGTAATAAAGGTTGTCACCTTTTGTTTATGATTGAGTTTCTGAGTGGTACAAATGGTTAACATGCTTGGCTGCTAACCAAAAAGTTGAAGGGTTCAGGTCTACCTAGAAGTGCCTCAGAGGAAAGGCCTGGTGATCTACTTCCAAAAAGTCAGTTATAGCAAACTTTACCAGAGCACAGTACTACTCTGACACACTTGGTGTTTCCGTGAGCTGGAATCAGCTTGACAGCAGCTGGTCTTTGGTCTCCTTATGATATTAAAAAAGAAATGAAGACCCCGAGTTTTTAAAGCTCCCCTAGAGGCAGAATGTATTAATAATTTACCAGCAAAGGACTTTGCTGGAGAATGGAGTTCCTTCCTTTCCTTCCTTCCTTTAGAATAAGAGACACTTATTTTAAAAATAGAATTTAAATTACTTTCAAAGATACACATAGTATACCATAAGATAAGAGTAAATAGAGGTGAAGCAGACACAACAGAGAGAAAAAATGGACAGGAAATAAAATTGTTACACAAAGTACATACCATAACAGTTCTCTCTGTGCTAGAGGGGCAGGGATCACAGAATTTCTCAAAGCTTCCTCCAACCAAAGGCGAGAAGGGAAGCAGCCATAACAGATGCTATGAGATCCCAGCTTAGTTAATTAGCCATGAAGAGCCAACAGAATAGGCTCTGTTAGTAAAATGTTTTCATATATGTGATTTTTATAACCATCATCTGTTACTTGTACCCAAGGATTACAGGCAGTGGAAGAAAGAATCTAGAACTTTCCCTTCTGCAGTCTGAGGCTTAGTTTCCTCAGATTGATGTTTTTTGTCATTGTTGGTTGCTGTCATGTTGGTTCTGATGCACAGTGACCCCATGTGTGCAAAGTAGAACTGCTCCATAGGATTTTCAAGGCTGTGGCCTCTCAGAAGCAGATTGCCAGGCCTGTCTTCTGAAGTGCCTCTGAGTGGGTTCACACCTCCAACTTTTGGCTCATAATTGAGTGCTTAACCCTTTGGACCTCTCAAGGAGCAGATGTGCTACTGCTTAAAGTCATGTGACATTTCATTATTTAAGCATCTTAGCCACATGCAACCAAAACAGTTTAGTGTTCCTAGGAGGAGTACTGGTGCTCACAAATTTACAATGCATTGATTCACTCAACACATAATAAAGTTGAGGACCTTATGTGTCTGGTTACCGTGTTCTTTGGCACTAGGAATACGGCATTGAAGAAGACTGGATGTAAAAGGCAGTTAAGGCAAGTAAAAAGCAATATAGTGGGACCAGATCTAGTATGTGGGATAAAAGAGGGGAGTTAGGGACTATGAAAGGGGCTTCTAACCCTGCCCTAAAGGAGCAAGAAAAACTGCCTCAAGGGATCATTGTGGTTTCGATTCAGAAAAGAGTGGAACCCATTACCTTGGAATGGTTTTGAACTTCAGGGTACCAAGTAGAGTCTGTTGTATGGGACATAGGAGGAGGTGGCACTGGGTGGTAAAAACTGAAGTGACCGTATTGATGTTGGTCCTGCTGCAGAGTGCTTTCAGCTACATTCTGAGGCTGGCTCCTTTTGATCTTCACTTAACCGAGTCTTTTCCTTGTGTTCTTTGTTCACAGACTGCGATTCTCAGGCGACAGGGTCGATACATATGCTCTACAGTTCCTGCAAATGCGGAACAAGAAGCACAGAGCTTATTTGTTACAGAGGTAATTATTTTTTTTTTCTTTACTACAGTAACTCACATGTCATTTTAAGGTCATTTGTCTGTAACCCTCTTTTCTTTACATTTTGATGATTATTTTCCAGAAAGTGACAATGAGGTAATTACATGTTTATGATAGAAATTTAAATATGAGAATTAACATGGGTTTTTCAGAGTGTGAAGCTTGGACAGAAATGTCAACAGGGATCATTTCTGAGTGCAGAACATGAATGCTACCAAATTTATCTCATTGGTTTAAAATAAAGGGGTACCTTGCAAATAAACTGACTGGTAATGTCTGTGAGAAGCTTTATTATTGTTATTGCTGCTGTTTTTAATAGGGACCCAGCATACACATATATATTCATTTATTTATATGTCTGTGGTTATCATAGTGACTCCCTTTTGGTTTCGGAGGTGGTAAATCTTTATGGAAGTAGATTGTCCAGTCTTCCTTCTGCTGAGTGGCTGGGGAGTTTGAACCACCAACCTTCTGGTTAGCAGCCAAATGCCTTAGGCACTCTGCCACCAGAGCTCCTTAACTGTTTTCAAGACACTTTAATACTTACGAAGAACCAGGTGATAATAAACAGAGCCTGAATCCCCCTTATCTATGTATGATTTTTCTTCCTCTTTCTTGAACATACAACTAATAATTATCTTGTTAAGAATGAAAGAGAAATTATTGCATTTAGATCACCTGTTCTTCTCAATGTGTTTGTTTTTTCCTCCAGATGTTTTTAGGTAGAATGAACTAATTAGGAGCTTTAATTTTGTTTACTGAAGCGCTCCTTCATTTAAAAAGAATGGATTTTTATCCCTATTTTTCTAGTAGATGTTTAGATAATAAATATACCAATTAATATGGAAACTAGTTTTTAATAACTGAAGAACAATTAAAATAACAATATATAGTTTCTGTTGAAATAGTTGAAAGATTTAATGTGCACTTAACATTTTAAAAGTGTGTTCTGTCATCTTTCTTAAAAGGTAATTCCATGTCTTACTTCCTATGCCATTATATTAGTAAAATTAATTCCAGACAGATTTAACCAGAAGGTTTTATGTAGTTGTAACTGTTTATTTTAAAGCAGGAGGTGGGCAAATTGCGTCCTCTCGGCAGTCTGGCCTACAGCCTGTTTTTGTAAATAAAGTTTTATTGTAGCACCCCCAAGTCCATTCAATTATACATTGTCTATGGCTTTTCTCCCAGAGACCATATTGCCAGCAAAGCTAAAGATATTTACTATCCAGTTTTTTTTTTTTTTTTTGAAACAGAAAAAGCTTGTGGACCTCTGTTTTAAAATGTGGCAAAATTATCAGTTACTACCTCAATTCTCCCAACTGGTTGAAAACTGTGATTTTTGAAGGATAAAGCTCTAATGTAGTTCTTTAATCACTGCATGTTGAGCAATAACTGATTCATCCCACAGTGCTGGAGCCAACATAACTAAACCCTCTTGGGATTATTTCCACTTGGGTGGAGTGAAACAATACTTCCTCTCCATCCTCTGGTCGAAAGGAGAATGACCTAATGGCTTTTTAAAAAGCAACTTCAAAAACCTTTTATTGTAACTTCAAAATATTACGGAGTTTCATAGATTTGAAAGGTTAATTATGAAATCAGTTGGTCAGACCCCTGTCTCTTTGCAGATACAGTTTTCTGGATACTGATTTTTGATTGAACCTCCTGATCTCCTAGACTTCCTATATCCCTCAAAGGCAGGGGCTTGCCTTACTCTGCACCTCTGTGGGTGCCTCCTCCCAGTCAACAGTAGCTTATTAAATGAATAAATCTGCGGGTATTTAACCAAGTAAACTGTGTGTGTGTGTGTGTGTGTGTGTGTGTGTGTGTGTGTGTGTGGTTTCTTATAGTTTTAAATGTTTAAGCATTTCAGCTTTCTTTCCCATTTTGTCTATGGCACTAAAAATCTGGACATTTGGTTGTTCCATTCTTAAATACATTTATATACAAGATTATGCTTATTTATTTCCAAATTGGGCACGTACATTTTATTGCTAAGAATACTTTCAATGTCCTGCAGGAGATTTTGGTAGTACAACTTATCACACCACAGAAATTAGTTATGGGCTCTGATTTTGGGGTCCAGACCAAGAAGAATAGGAGTATGCCCACAAGGTTGTATCATACATGGTCAGACCTCACTTAGCTGTGCTGATGGACCTAGAGGCAGTGTGGACAGTCCCAAACTATGGATAATTCTGAAATTATATTGATTTTGGAACATAATTTTAAGTGTGGGTGTCAGATGTTATAAATGTAAAATGCTTTGAAAAATTAAAATAGCATTTACAAAAAATATTATTATAAATATTTGTAACTGCATGGCACAGAAATTGAAATATCCGGTTCCCATATCTGATCCTGTTTTTAACCCTTCTTTACTATTTATTCCTCCTCTCAGAATGATACTATTAAAAAAACTTACATTACCTTCCTTCTACACCCTTGTGAGTAAAGTGCTTAGCACAGAGTAAGCACTTGCTGTTAGTGTTTTCAGGAGTTTAGGGGCAGAGGAGAGTTTGCTTCAGGAGGCTTTTAGCTCCAGGCTATGAACTGGATCTGACAGACTTGTCAGTATGAACAGTGAAGTGAAGTAAGCAGAGAATTTGTTCATGATACTAATTATAGCTAAAGTCATATAAACTACATAAGGCATAAGTGCATTTATCTACCTATTATTAATTTACTCTTTTTTTTGCCACATTGAAGT